ATTGGACGACCATATCATCACCTATCGGTTGTCATGGAGATTTCAATGCGAACAATGACTAGTCAGCGCTAATTGTTGAATATTTTTAAGGAATGCATAGGCACAATGCTTAACGGCTGATTTGTTCATCGATTATGCGTATTGTCGGGTTTCTATGGCTTCATGAGATCATATGTTTATCTGCGGATAGAGAGTGCTCGCACTGTGCACTCTCTCTATCTGCAGCGCATCAATCCTCTGGGGTCTTTTTCAGTAGTTGACAGAGTTTGTTTCAGAGGAAGGATTTGAAATCGTATTCACTGATGAGTACATATTGAGTATGAGTGAGTACGTACTGATGATTGAGTACATATTCCATTCATTTGATTTTTGTTCATCAATATTTTGCACGATCTAATCAAGATCGAAATTAAACAATAACATCCCTGGTACCATATCCCTGATCCCTAATATCCCTGATATATCACATCTCGATCACTGCTCAACGAGTGCGTCTTCCATGTTTCAGGCAACAATACTCCAAAAAAATCTTGACGGAAATCAACTACACTTTAGTGTTTGTTAGAAAATAAAGAGCAGCAATGACAACTTTGAAAAGCGTCAAATTATGAGCAGAACTTATATCGTGATCGTGAAAGAAGTTGATTTCTGTAGTGGTCGTTGTGATCAACTAATTATCTCTCAAAATTTTGATTAACTGATGAAATAGAATAACAATCTCCTTCTGAAATCAATTTCACACGTCTCCATGAGTGTAATGAATAATTCCGTCTTTCCATCTTAACGCATTGCAAACATTTGTCACTAATAGGTGCAAATCGCACTTTGACACATTATTTTAGTGCTTATTGTCAGCACAATGTGACCATTTCTGACTATTATGGATCCATCTTTTACGTTTTACAGACTGTCTTTATTTTGAAATACTTCAAAATTCTTCACATCAGTGAGTTTAGACAACTATAAAAAGCAATTTTTTGTTACAATTAGTGATTGAAACAGTTTACACGACTAATTTGACTATTCGAACAGAGCCGAGAATATGATGTGAATAACGAGAATATGAGCATTATTCAAGGAACGAATCAATAAGTTGAGAACGTACAAAATTGTATGAAGCGACTACATTAGAGCATGTTTAGAACAACAATTTTCTCTGAACACTGTCACATTTTAACATAGACAATTCATTTTTGAAGACTAGGAAATGTAATATCACAGAGTAGAAACATAAAAGTTATGCAAACGAGTAGAAATAGATCATTTAGGGCAACTTCACAACAGCTAAAACGGTTACAATTAGGAGGAAGGTTAAATTTAATGAATGGTTTGTTAGAAATTCACTGACGCAAAATTTTTTCGAGAGAAGGGTAATTCAACTAGATAATGAGAATGCTCGACGTTGACTAATGTTCGGTTTATTTGAAAGTTCGCTTCTGGATCATTTCAACAGCTTCAACGAAGCTCGATACGCAATTACGACTTGATTCCGGGATCTGAGTTTCGTCACCTGAAAGTGAAAATATCAAAAGTTTGAATCCATTAAACCAATACATCATTCGAGAACGTTTACTGCTGGCAATTATTTGAAAGTTACAACGCAATAATCCTTGATTATGACCTAATTATTATATTACTTCCGAGAACCGATTATTACAGTTAAGTTTGATTTCAATTAAGAAACATAAAAAGGTGACTCAAAGGTGTGATTAAAAGCGCAATTTATGATATGGTAGTGCATAATGCCTTCAACATGAACCATACGTTCCAGTTTTCTGAAATAAGACATTTTGGTATTCATTTAAGAAATGTGCTCGACATTACAAAAATAAATTGATTAATCAACATCTCAGCAACTTCCTGAAAGGTAACTCAAAGATGTGGTTAAAAGTGCACTAAATGAGACTGGACACCCATCGCTAATAGACTGATAGCAATAATTTGGCAAGCCCTCTCCCCGACCCCAACTAACCAGGCCGATATTTGCCGGTTTTTACAAGTATCGCATGCATTCCGGCATGAATAGATCCCAACGCATCATCGCGCGCATCGTCACCGATCATCACCGCGTCCGATGCCGGTATTTTGCCATCATCTAAGCTTTCCAAAGCCGACAGAAAGAAATTTCGTTCCGGTTTTCCAACAACGTCAGCCTGGAAGCGATTCCGGATGAATTTAGGCGCAGCGTGAAAAAAATCGTTGTTAGCGATGATGCATGTGAAAAAAGTCATTGCCAACAGCAAAATATACCTTAACATCAGCGGCGAACTGAAGGGCTTCAACAAACGGACCTGGACCCAAGCTGAGTCCATCTTTACGTTTATAATAGCGACCTTTATGGATGGCTATCAGTTTTGCACCATCCAATAGCAATCGAAATGCTTTATTCAAGTTGTCGAACTGGAAACGCGACGGTGCAAGACCGACAACCACGGCATTTGGGTTCGTTTGATCAATGTCTGCAAACCGAATCAATTTCGCACACCACAGTTACAAAATACCTTTATATCACCGAAGATGCATATCGTCACTTACTCGACAGCATCTAAATTGATGGTTACGAGATAAGGATTTATCAAAGATAGGGATTTATCGAAGGAAGATAGGGATTTATCAAAGCTGCATGCAGTTGTGTTAGACAAGGGCATACAACCATAATGAACACAGACTGTCACCAGTAAACAACTGATCAGGAAGCATCACCGATGCAGTTCTTGATTCTTTCAATAAAACTCCTATTGAAAGCAGAAATCACCTTTGAAATCTTCCAGTGCAACGTCCTCGAGAAACAACAATGGTCGAAGGTGTTCTCTCTCAATTAAACATTTCGCTGCAGACAACGACGTGAACACTTCGCTTGGAGCGATTTGGAAACCGAGTTTCTGCAGTCGTTCGTGAAGACGACTTGATGATTCCTTCAAGCAGAAGGTTCACGCTAAGGATTGCGTACTGATACGACAAAACTATTGATACACATTAGCATCTATATGACAGAACAAGCAATAATTATTGGATGACACAAATTGAAATTACGAATTACTTTCGTTGTATTGGTGACAAATTTCAATCTGCAATTTGGAATTTCCCTGAGATGTTGTAACGCTGCGACAGCGCCCGGAATGCACACATCTTCAATATGAAGTGTACCCGACAAATCGATGAGAACAGCTAGACGTGAAGCACTCATTCAGGTGAAGTTCCTTCCTGCAAAACGCACGCAATTCAACTCCTCAGCAACGTGAATTGCGTCGGCGAGTTTACGAAAAGTTTTAAGGTATTCGAATAAGCCCATCTAGAATCGAGTTTGAAATGGATACTTCATTTAGCAAATGTTCGTCTGAGATGAACCTTCATGACATGATTCTCAAAACTGATTCCGAAGAGAATTTGAACAATATTTGATGGATCCTCGGCTAGTGCACCTCTTCACACATTTACAACCCGGATGNTAAGCCCATCTAGAATCCAGTTTGAAATGGATATTTCATTTAGCAAATGTTCGTCCGAGATGAACCTTCATGACATGATTCTCATAACTGATTCCGAAGAGAATTTGAATAATATTTTATGGATCTTTGACAAGTGCACCTCTTCACACATTTACAACCCGGTTGAGTAGATATTGTTGCTCTGAATTACAGCGTTAAACGACTGAACCGTTGACGGTAAGGAGTGTCAAAATGCTGGAAATAGTCACGATACGGCATCGAAATGAAGGAGAAAAATTTATTTGGAGATGATTCCATAATTCAG